AAAGATAAAAATTAAAGTCACCCATAATCCCATAATGTAGAAAACCATGGTTATCATTAATGTTAATGTGTATGTGTCTTTGTGTGTGTTTCACTTGTTTTTGTTATATAGATATATTAGCCAATGTAATTTTCAAAAAACAAGATTACTTTATAATCTGCTTTTCCTCATACCTTTAAATATTCTTTAAAACATTTCAAATAGTATTTCAAATCAGGAGTGGATATGTTGTAATTTATTTAATAGCCTACAATTGGACTTTGAAACTTTAAAAAATAATTATTTTAATTAAGATTATTAGCACTATAAAATAGTCTTGTTTATAAACATTGTTATGCATATCTGAGTATCCTTTTAGGGTAAATGTCTAGGAATAAAATTACTGGGTTAAACTCTATTAATTATACAATGATCTTATATATAATCTCAACTATCCCTGTAAGGAATATAATTATCACTGTTTATTCTCCTGCATCCTTTATAGCATTAGGTACTTTAAAAAAATCTTAGACCAATTTGCTAGAGAAAAAAATTTATGTCATTCATTTAATTTTTATTCCTTTGATTATAAAGAAGTCAAGCACTTTTTAGCATATATATGGTTCACTTGTTTGTCTGGTGGATTGCCTTTTCCACTTCTGCCCATATTTATATTATGGGATTCATATTTTGTTTTTTCTTTGTCAAAAGCTCTGTATATTAAATATAAATAACTATGATTGTGTTGTATGTTTTAATTTTTTTCTAGTGTCTCCTTTGCCTTTGGTGGTATTTTTGACATTATGGAGATTTTCATTTTTACATTTTCAAACCTGTTAATATTTATCTTTAATTTTCTGTGGTTGTTTTTGTGTTTAAAAATTATTTTCCACTTTGATTTCAGAAAATATTTTGCACATAAGCTTCTAGTTCTCTTATTTCTTATAAAAAGCAATCTAGTGGGGATTATTTTTCTTAACAGTAGGAGATTTTTGGTTGATCAATTGCTCTACTATGTATTATGCATTTTTTCATTTATTTAATTGGTTTGGAATAGACTTTTCTTTCTTTTCTGATTTAAAATTCCACCTTACTTGGATGCTAGATTCTTATGCAGATCTCTCTCTGGACAGTTCTCTCTAGTGGTTTGTCAATCACACTGGATAAAACATTTTTAACTGCTATATTTCTGATAATGTATTTGAATACCTGATAATGTAATTTCTCATTCATTTGAATTTTTCAAAGTTGTCTCTTTAGAAATACATACTATTCTAGTATAAATGTCAACATTATTGTTAGATAATAAGAACTAAGAAGTTTTGAAATGAAGGCGAGCAGATAGGGACTTGGGGAAGATGTGGCACATTGGCTGGACTCAGAATGATGAATATGATTTGGCTTGACAGAGAGAAAAGAGAAAAAGCATTCCAAGTGGTGCAAAAGCCTGAGCAGTACACAGAATAGCAAACAAGCATTATATAATGGATAACGGGAGAGGAATGGTGGAAAGGATCTAATATTTGTTGAATGCCTACTGAATGTGAGTCACCATGCTAAGAATCTTATAGGAGTAACTCTGAGGTCATCTGAATTCTCATACTTTGACTCCTGTGTCAATGCATATTCAGTGCCTTGCTTTCAATCTGTCCCAATTTGTATGCAGAACCTAGTATTTCTTTGCATTTCTATGAAAAACAATTTACTTACACAGAACTTTATTGGTCAGTCAATGAAACCAGTTTCTTGATCTCAAAACCATACATTTTGGGCTGAAAAATCCAGTCGTAGAGTCCTGTTCTATGCATTGCAAGATATTTATCCCTGACCTCTACATACTAGATTCCAGTAGCAATCCTGCCCCCTAGTAGGGACAACTAAATCTGTCTCCAGACTTCAACAAATGTCCCTTAGAGGCAAAATCAATATGAATTGAGAAATACAAATTATATCAAAAATGGAAAAGTAAGTGGGGATGGGAGGGCTTTATATTGCATAGTGCATAACAAATAGATGTCTTCTTTGTGCTTCCTTCTCTGAAGACACTTCTTGCTTTATTGAGCTTTATTTTTGCTTAATCTCTTGCAGAGTTTCTCAACTGTGGGACTACTGGCATTTGGACCAATAATTCTTTTTTGTGGGGAACTTTCTTATGCATTGTTGGATGTTTAGTGGCACCCCTGGACAATACCCAGGAGACACCATTATCACCACCACCACCCCCATTTGTGATATTCAAATCAGTCTCTAAATATTGATGAAACTGATCCTGGAAGATAACTACTGATGCAGGCTATACCAAAGGTAGGAAGTTTGTGGAGGATGTTTTCTGAACAACCTACCTAATATAGTTCAGAAACCTCTCTCTACATATATATTTTTGGATTACTTTATTGATTACTATATAATTGGTTTTGGCTATTGTGATTTGTTTATGCTCTTCCAGGAATTCTCCATCTCAGCATTATTGTTTTGGACCAGATAATTCTTTGTTGTGTGGACTGTCCTGTAGATTATAGGATGTTTAGCAGCCTCTACCAACAACATGCCAGTGGTACCTCGTTCCAACCAAAGTTGTAATAATCAATACTGTCTCTAGATATTGTCAAAGGTCTCCAGAAGAGCAAAATCACCTCTAGTTGAGAATCATTGTTTTATTTCTATTTACCTTTCACCATACACTGACTCTTCTTTTCAGCATTTTCTTGTAGAACAAATACTCATTTCTCTCTTTTTCTTACTCATACACATTAAGTGATAATTTTTGTTATTATTACTTAAACATGATTGCAGAATCTCCCTCTCTATCTCAACTGTTTTAATTGTGGCTTTTTTTTTTTTTTGAGTTGGAGTCTCACTCTGTTGCCGAGGTTGGAGTGCAGTGGCACACTCACAGCCACCACAGTGTTGACCTGCATGGCTTAGATGATCTGCCTCAGCCTTCCATGTAGCCGGAACTACAGGTGTGTACTACCATGCCCAGCTAATTTTTTGATTTATTGTATAGATGAGGTCTCGCCAAGTTTCCCAGCCTGTTCTCAAACCCATGGGCTCAGGCAATTCCCTCACCTTGGCCTCCCAAAGTGCTGGGATTACAGGCTTGAGCCACCGCGCCTGACCTGTGGCATTTTTTTTCCCCTACAAGCATAGCACTGTCTCTAAGAGAAATTGAGGCAAATAGCATATACTCTAACTTGCTGAACATTTTCATTTCTCCTTTGAGTGAGGACCAGGCCACTTGAGCTTCTACTGCAGGGTTGGCTGTAGCTTGCTTTTGTATCAATTTGCACAAAATTGTCTATTTCATTAAATATTAGCTTATAGGCGACTTAAGACAAGCACATCATCTTGCACATAGTAACTGTATAGAAATAAAAAAGAATGTAACTATTGGAATCAGACACTTCTGGGTCACAATCACTGAATTCCTCTTTAACCAGATTTAGTGGTCTTAGGTGACTTAGCATCTCTGCTCTTGCTTCATCCTTTGCAAAATAGGAATAAGATTATTTTCTGGGTGGGTTTCTTATACATATTAGAAATTATGAGATGAAGCACCAGATACATATCCCTCACAGAAGTTAACTATTATTATTAATTTTATCAGGAGATATCCACGCCTATATATTAAAAAAACTTGTAAAGCCATGCTCAAGTACTTATATCTACAGTGTTTACTTCTTTCTTTCCCTCAATTTCGGACTTATTTGTAGTCACAGCTGAGTTATGCTGGGGAAATAATATTGTTGCATTAATTTTTCTCTTTATTTTGCCAAAATGTTAAGGCTCAACTGATTCTAATATTCTCATGAACATTGAATTTTAAAGTTTAATTAGCATCATTGTGGGGATTTCTCTTTGCAGTTGTGAAGTGCATACTGCATAGGGGATAGAGTTACAAATGAAATTAGGAAGAGTTGAACTAAAATTGGTTCCTATAGCAAATGTGTCATTTGTATTTTTGATGTTTACCCCAGTAGATAAGATGTATTTTTCTTTAACATTTTTTCACTGATGTATGTTTATATGTGGTTTTGACCATTCCAAGGCAAATTAAATTAAAATATAATATGATAAAAAGAAAAAGATAAAAAGATAACCTGCCAGTTGCATTACAGGAATCAAGAAAAATGCAGAATGCACTGTTCTGCTCATCAGAAAGGGCTTCTCTGTTCAATTCATTATACAAGGATGCAACTTTCCCTGGAATATACAAAAAGGGTGACTTCAAGAATGGGGTATACAGTTTTAGTTTTACTATCTCAGGATTTTACAGGTGAAAGGGATCCCAAAATTACTGAATATAATCATTCCATTATATGAGTAGAGAAATTGAGGCCTGAAGAAGACAAATGAACTTCTCAGAATTTTTCAACAGTGGTTAGTGACAAAATTTATATAAGGATCTTATTCCCAGTATGTAAGACAAACTGCTTTGTTGGTTACAACATTATGACGGAATGAATGGTGGTTACAACATTCTGATAAAATAGAATTGTGGAATCTTCTAGAATATTTAGCACTTAGTTTTTAATGAACTACAAAAAATAGGCAATAATAATAGAGATAACATGAGGGATTGTTGTGGCAGCAACCACTGGGGAGAAGGGGGTCAAGTGGGAGAGAATGTTTTGGCTGAGATAAGCTTGAAGCTATGCTTTAATTTAACACAACTATTTTAAACCCAGAAAAGCACCATTGTTATCATCTACAAAGTGTTTTAGAGAAGACAGATGGGCATTGTAGATTATAAGATAAATTTGACAATAACCAATGCATAACATTTAGTTTTTCTTCACATAGTTTACCACTCTCTCATTTAAGTTTTAAGTTGTTTTTTTTTATTGAGGTACACACACAATTGAAAACTTAGCAGTATTATTTGCAAGTTTGTTTTGTCTTCAAACAGCCAATGTTTCCAGTACTTCTTTATGTATCTTGAATACTGCATATACCTTTAACTTGCCTTGAATTGTCCAAATACTGTGCCAATCGACTGGAACAACTTTTCAACATGAACATTAATAAAACTCCTTAGGTTTTCCTCCATATTTTCTTGACCATCTTCCTGTGTTCCTTTCTTGTTGATGTAGCTGGTATTGTTCAGCCATTACTTCAAGTTCTTCTGGAACACTTTCATTTGCTCTTTCCAGAATTTTAATCAATTCACTGGCAAATTTCCAATCATGTGAAGTGAGCAAGGTAACTGATATGCCTGTCTTTCCTGCTCTTCCAGTACGCCCTACTCTGTGTATATATTCTTCAATATTACGTGGGAAATCATAATTATATACGTGGGTAATATCATTAACATCGAGACCTCGAGATGCTACATCGGTGGTAATCAGTATCCTCACTTTTCCACTTTTAAAGTCCTCTAATGCTTCCTCTCGGTCTCTCTGTTCTCTGTTGCCATGTAGTGATTGTACAGGCATGCCTTGGATTCCTAAGTCACTTGATAAATCATCAACAGTAAGTTTCCTGCCAACAAATACAATGACTTTGTCGTTGGGTGACAGGTCATGTAGGAAATCTTGGAAAATTGTTCGTTTTTCTTTTTCTGTAGTGACAATTACATTTTGCTTCACTGTATTTACAGCAACTAGATCCAGAGTACCAACATAAACAAGCATAGGCTCTTTCAAATAAGAGTGTGCAAGGTGACGGACAGCATCTGGCCAAGTTGCACTTGTCATAACAGTCTGCCGGTCTGGGCGCACATCTAATAAAATCTTCATTATCTGGTGTTCAAACCCCAGATCTAGCATTTTATCTGCCTCATCTAAGACCAAGTAGGTTATGCTTCTTAGGTTGACAAAATTATTCATTTGTAGATCATTTAGTCTCCCTGGAGTTGCAATGATGATATCTACACCATTGATAATGCCTTCTATTTGTCCTTTTCTATTTCCACCACCATATACACAAATGCTTTTAAGATCTTTATATGAATACTTTGAACATTCAGCTTCTACCTGAAGAGCTAATTCTCTAGTGGGTGTGAGAACTAGCATCCCAGGCCCATTTCTTTCTTCTTTGGGAACTGGCTGGGAATCAAGATGAATTAACCCAGGTAATAAATAGGACAATGTTTTGCCTGTTCCCGTTTGGGCGATTCCTATAAGATCTATTCCTTGTAAAACAACTGGCCATGCCTGTGACTGAATTGGAGTTGGCTTTTTAAAACCTGCCTTTTCTATGCTTTTCAAAAGTTCTGGGCAATTTTGAAAGGCATCTTTAAAATCACAAGTTGGATTGGGGATGGGACGTTTTCCACCATCTTTCAAGTCATCACACATTATGTTGAAATTTTCCTTTCTCCAGTTATCTGACTGCACTTGAGACATGGAACTTGTTGCTTTGGATTCTATGTAGAAGTTTTTCTTGATTGGTGGTAAATCTGCCCATTTCTTTTTTTTCCACTCTTCCACTTCTGCCTTAACATGATCCCAGTCTATCAGTGGCCGAGCTTGCCTAACAATATCATCTGTACTTAAGTCTCTTTCAACAGGGGTTTGAGGTGTGGTATTATCAACATTGGATTCTGAATTGTAGCTTTCTTGTTTTTTAATAAGAGTTTCTATAGCTTTTTTGGCGTTTTCTTTCTTGTCTTTGCCACCAAAAATTTTTACCTCTGACTCGGAATCCCCCCTTTTGATTTGTATTTTAGTGTTTGTCAAATGTTGTAGTTCCTTTATTTTTGAGCCTCCGCGACCAATTACTATACCAACCACATCATTCTTCAATCTAAAGCAGAGTGGTGGTTCATTGGAGTCTGTGGCCCTAGGCCCCTGATGGTTAGAGGGGCCATTCCAGCTGCTGCCTCTGCCGCCCCTGCCACGCCTGCGGGTCCCAAGATCTCTGGGATTAAGCTCCGCCCTCTTCCACTCTGGGGTCCAGGACATTGTGGGATAGTGGTGGCATCGGCTTCTTCCCTACATACAGTTGGTAGAAGGTCAGGTCTGCCGCCTCTTTCTAGTCCCTCTGATCCTTCAGAGAGTTCTGCCAGTTACTTCCTGGTCTGACTCAGGCTAGCCATGAAGTGGTTACCTAAGGAACCACTATTTGATACTATGTAGGGGAGGGGCTTTGACAGCCTGACCAATCACAGGGTCGAGACTAGTGTGAGGTAAGTGGGCACCTATGATGCAAAAATTTAAGAGACACTCACTTTCCCTGAGAGTGACTGTCTCCTTAACTTATGTGTCTTGTGTGCCTTTTCCTCTCCCCTTGAGATAGTTCTGGCTCAGCATGAGAGCAACCTTGAAGCTGACCTTGAACTTACATGCATTGTCATTTTATAAATCAAGTATTTCCAAAGGAGAAAAAGTAGTGGATTTTGAAAACATTAACTTAAGTATTTTGGTAAATTTCTTTTGGAGTTAATACAGCAGTTTGTTTAGATAAATGTATCATTTCCCTTTCCTCTAGTGTAACTTAAATTGTACCATTACATATCTCTCCCTCCCTCCCTCCCTCTCTCTGAGATAGGATCTTACTTGGTTGTCCAGGTTGGAGTGCAGTGGCAAGATCACAGCTCACTGCAAACTCGAACTCCTGAACTCAAGTGGTTCTCCCACCTCAACCTCCCCAGTTTCTGGGACTACAGGCATGTGCTCCCATGTCAGGCTAATTTTTTTTTTATAGACAGAGTCTTTCTATGTTGGCCAGGCTGGTCTTGTTCACTTGATCTCAAGCTGTCCTCCTGCCTTGGCCTCCCAAAATACTGGGATTACAGGTGTCAGTCACGCATTCAGGGTCAGTGTTTTACCTTGGATTCTTCAGCTTAACTCCAGCACTTGTTCAGGCAGTTTCAAAATATCGTTTTAGGGATGATAAATAGAAGGAAGGCATAGTGGTGCCTAAAGTATGTTAGAGCCTATTTCTAATGGTTCGCCACTTTTCCCATTACCTCTTAATTTTCTTTCCTTTTGCTGTAGTTTGATAGATTCTGATGTCTTAGCACTGGAAGACTATTTATAATTCATTTGTTAAGTATAGCATAGGTGAACATCCAACTTCTATTTAAACAATCTCAGAGGCAGGGAACTCACTTCATTTCAAGGATGTCCACTCCATTATGAGACAGTTTAATGGTTTCAAACAGTGTTGAACCAAAATGTGCTACTTCTTACTTCAAATCCTTCTGACTTCTGAAGTTGCACAGGTTTGGTTTTTCTGTATACTTGTGTACTTAAGGATCTCTGTCAAATTTTCTTAGGGTTTCTGTGCATCAGGGTGTAGTGTTTCCTGTTTCTTCACTACATCTTACTATGGTATGGCTTTCAAGACACACATCATTTCATTCCCTCTCCTTTGTAAATGGTTTATTGAATACCTTTTCTAATGTAGGACACAGAACTAAAACAAACAGAATCTGCATAAGTGGCCTTGCTACTACTATTAGGGCCTCTTCACTGAGCACAGTAGTTCTACTAATTTGATGTAAGAATTCCTGAGACACTACGCTGCTCGCAGTAGCATTGTGGCCATTTGTGTCTATTTTTCTTCATCTTGCACTTGCACGGTTGATATTTTAAAATTTGCTTAACTAAAAGTAGACTATATATTTTTCCTTTTATATTCACCCCATTAAGTTTGGTCAATTAATGTAGCCTATTAAATGTAATGTTAATGATTATTCTCTCATCCATCATATTATCCTATAGTGTCAAGTCTTCTGCCAATTTAATATTCATAGCATCTTTCTCTGTTTAGCTAAAGTTGCTGATTAAAATTTGAACATAATCCAGTCAGTATAGGGCAGAAATCTGTGACACATTGGGAGAAACCTTCTCTATATCAGTGCTTTTTCTGAAAGATGCTTTTTGAAGAAAGCAAAAAGGCTTCTGGTCAAATATGTTGGAAAATACAGCACCCCATATCCCTTCTGTTAAAGCTACAATCCTTATTAAATATCCCAGAAGCTCTGATAATTGAAGACATTTAGCAAATCAATTTTTTATCCTAAAGTTCCCCAAAGGAATATTTCATCAATTATTGAAATAAACTTTTTATTTGGAATAATTTTATATTTAAAGAAGAGTTACTCAAATAATACAGAGAAATTCCCATATAGCCCTCAACCATTTTTTTCCTCTAATCTTATCATCTCATGTTATCATGATACATTTGTCAAATATAGGAAAAATCTATTGGTGGGTTACTATTAACTAAGTTTCAGACTTTATAGCACCAGTTTTCCATTAATGTATTTTTTTTGTTTCCGAATTCAGTCCAGAAAACCATACTGCATTTAGCTGTCATGTATGATTTATGAAAGTTTCTCAGTCTTATTCTTTATAATCTTTCCAGTTTTGAGGAGTAATGATCAGACATTTTTTAGAATGTCCTTCAAATTGTGTATGCCTGATATAATTTCTCATGATTAGACTGGGGTTGCAGGGTTTAGAAAAAAATATCAGAGAGATAAAAGTACCCTTCTCATTACATCATACTAGGGAGGTGAGCACCAGCTATCAACATGACCCATCACTAGTAATGTTAACCTCAGTCACTTGACTAAGTTGTGTTACTCAGGTTTTATCTACTGTAAAATTATTATTTCTCTCTTTCTGTAATCCATTTTTTTGGAAGTAACTAAGTCCAGATAACCCTCAAGGGCCCAGTGCTATTTAAATGCAATTCTATTTAACATTTTATACAATTAGTAATGTTCTTTGTAATGCAATTTAGAAAACACTGCTCTGGATAAATACAAATTACCTAACTAATTTTGTTTTTCTGATTAGGTACATTTGGTTGTTCAACCAGATGTATTCTGATCAAATCACATTATAATGCTCCACATTTCTTCATGAATTATGCTGAGAGTTTTAAGACATTCCCAGTATCCTCTAGTTTATTGACTATCAAAAAAGGAAATTTGTCAGATGTGGCTTTTATTTTGTGAAAAGTATTTTTTGTTTCTCTCTGTCTTTATGCTTTCATCTTTGTTTTGAATAATACTTAATATTACAAAACCATAGAATTCTATAGGTGTTGAATACATCAGAGATCATCATCTTCTTCTTCTTCATTATAGAGACAATGAAATTGACACCCCAAATTCTTTTTGGACTTGACCAAATGTAATTAGCAAATTATTGAATGTGTAAATCCAGAGCCATTTCTTGCCTTGTGGATGGTGGCTCTCATTCTTCTATTATGAAGTGACTTGTTTCTACTTCTGTTATTTTACATGGGTGATTTGAAAGCATAGAAGAATCTTTGAAAGTGATATGAAGAAAAGTCATATTGTTGGGAAGGGGTAGTTGTAAAATTTGAGTACAGAACAGAGCACTGTAAGGTGAAACACATGATGGTGAATTACTGCAATGACACAGAAGTAATTGAAGACTTTTATGGGTATTGCAGGTACTTAGTGAGATTGTGTCTTTAGGATCACTTATTACCATCTATGATTGATCTTTTCAGTTGGAAAAATTGATTGCCTCCTAAGTTAAAGGCCACCAGTGTGATGTTCTTTTCTTTAAATAGCTCTACAATGGACTTATCTCTGTGTCTGTAATGTTCCCACTAGATATATCCCCTTAGTATATTATTAATATGATGTTGGAAAAACAGAACACAAAATGTGAAGTTTTCATATAGTTTCTAGTGGAGAAGCTGGTTAAGAGGTTCTTGTAGGGCAGAGGGAGGCAAAGAAGGAAGGGATTGAGTTTCCAGTAGAGGGGTGGGCAAAATTTTGCCCTATGGTAAAAAAAAAAAAAAAGTAAAATAAGGAAAGACAAAAAATGTGCTTAAGGCAGTCTTTACCATTTGTTCAGAGTGGTCCCTATAATTTTAGAGGCAACAGTAAGAAGAGTGAAACATTACAGGAAGTAAATTAGACTAATTTTCAAATTTGATTTCCACAAACTCTTCTGAAGATGAGTTAATGCTGTTGGCCTAAAATATTCTTATAGATGGGACTCTCTTTGAAACTATTTTAATAGTGTTCTATTTAATCGACTTTCATTGATGATCCATGGCAAACTTGAGTTGTGGAATTCCAGTTAACACTGATGATTATAATAGTTACAGTTTATTTTGCATCTATACAGCACCTTTCAATTTATAAATACCCTTCATGGAAATAGTCTCCTTGGTATGATATGTATCTAAGAGAGACCTCTTGTTCTTTCTGCCATATGAAGTTACAGTTAGCCAGGAAGTGGGCCCTCACCAGACACCAAATCTGTCAGTGACTTGATCTTGAACATCCCAGCCTCCAGAGCTATGAGAAATACATTTCTGTTTATAAGCCTCCCAGTCTATGGTGCTTGTCATTTCAGCCTGAACAGTCTAAGACAATTAGCAAATAAGCACAAGTCAGTGTGCTATAAGTCACCCATCATGGTTGAGGGAAGAAGGAGACTGGGGCAGCTGAAAAGTTGAGGTAAACACATATAAGGGAGGTTGACTGATCTGTTATGGGAGAAACTATGGAATTAAAGATAAAAGAATGTAAACGTTTTAGGAGAAGAAATCAGTGTGGCCTTGGGGAAAAGATCAGGGCAGCCTGGATGACTAGGACTGAAGATTCAGGCTTAGAAGAAAGAAGAAATGGAAAAGGATGGTTTATGTCAGGTGAAGGGGAAAATGGAACTTTCAGAAACCTTAAAGACTGTCTACAAAGTTTCAAATAATTATGATTTTTAAAAGTGGCAAACATAGAATGGAGGAGTCATATGACATTCATTAGGGAAGTGAGTCCATAAGGAGAAACTAGAATGCAGGAAAGTGCGATAAAGAATGGGGATCTTTGTTTTAGTATTGCAAGCACATAGGACTGAGTGACTGGAATAGAATATGGCACTATAACATTGGGAATTTAAAGAATGGAACACATTAGAAAAATGAGTCCAAGAAGCAACTAACATGTTTTAGTACTACCATATGC